CTGGCTTCGCTCTGCGCGCGGGCGGGCGAAAGGATGCTGGCGGGCTTCCCCGGCCTGGGCCCGCGCTCCCGCCGGCCAGGGCCCCGAGCGCGCCCCTAGCCGTCGCCGCTGCTGCGGGCGCGAGAGGGAGGGGACCCGCTGCGCCGCGCTCGCCGCCGCCTGGCTCGCCGGCCCCCGAGCCGCAGCCCCAGGGCCGGGCGCGCTTGGCCGGCGCCCCCGAATTTTCCACCCTCTGCCGCCGCCGCCTCCTTCCTCCTGCGGCTGGGTGCCTCTGGATGCTGAGGGGCAGTCCTGCGCCTCTCCCCGCCCGATCTTGGGCCTGAAGGCGGGGGAGTCGCGCTCCGGCCGGGGGCTGGGGGCCCAGGCGCTGGTGGGGCGGCTCGGCTCCGCCGGGAACTGCCCTCGAGCGTGCTGAACCCCCTGCCCCAGCCCGCCACACGCAGGACCCGGCCCTGCAGCCCGCGCTGGGACCGTCCCGGAGCACGCGGCTCCCGAGTTCCCCCACAGGTAAACGCAAGGGCAGGGCTGGGCTAGCGGAGGGCAGGCGGCGTCCCGGGTTGGAAAGGGGCCCGAGTGGAGCCGGAGTCTCCAAGGGCTGGGTGGAAAAAGGAAGTAAACAGAAAGAAGATTCAGGAATCCCCGGGATGGCCCTGGTTTCTTTCTGGCATGTTTTATTTCCAGCTTGTGAGGATTGGGCCTGGAGGGGATTTAGGTGAGGAAGTCAGGGGCAGAGAGAGACAGGGTGCCAGGGATGGAGAGGTGGCTAGTCCCCTGCACAACCAGGGGCAGGAAATCGTCTGAGGTGGACGAGACTAAGTATGTGTGCAGTGGGTAGTGGTGTGAGCGAGGGGGTGGCAAGGGAGGCGCTGGTTTTGGAAGCTTTTCCAGCAAGGATTCTTTTTATGAGAGGTGGGGTGGGTCAGACGGAAACCACAGGGTAGAAAAGGAAGACCTGCTTCTACTTAGCAATGTCCTTTAAGTTCCAGATTATCAGTGCTACCTGTTCCCTGGAAACCCACTCTGTGTTCCTGCCAGCAATTGCCGCCCCTCCGCACCAGCCAAAGAGAGTTCCTCAGCCCTCCCCAGGTCTCAAAGAGCCTTGGTAGGCGGCCCATTCAGGAGCTCGTCCTCTGTCCCCAGTCCACTTCTCCAGGACTAGTAGAAACAGACACCAGCCAGGATGCCCAGGAACCAGGGCTTCTCCGAGCCCGAGTACTCGGCTGAGTACTCAGCGGAGTACTCTGTCAGCCTGCCCTCTGACCCCGACCGCGGGGTAGGCAGGACCCATGAAATCTCTGTCCGGAGCTCAGGATCCTGCCTGTGCCTGCCCCGCTTCATGCGGCTGACCTTCGTGCCCGAGTCCTTGGAGAACCTCTACCAGACCTACTTCAAACGGCAGCGCCACGAGACCCTGCTGGTGCTGGTGGTCTTCGCAGCCCTCTTCGACTGCTACGTGGTGGTCATGTGTGCTGTGGTCTTTGCCAGCGACAAGCTGGCTCCGCTCGCCGTGGCCGGGATCGGGCTCGTGTTGGATGTCATCCTCTTCGTGCTCTGCAAAAAGGGGCTGCTCCCTGACCGGCTCACCCGGAAAGTGGTGCCCTACCTGCTGTGGCTGCTGCTGACGGCGCAGATATTCTCCTACCTGGGCTTGAATTTCACTGTCGCCCATGCGGCCAGCGACACGGTGGGCTGGCAGGCCTTCTTTGTCTTCTCCTTCTTCATCACACTGCCGCTCAGCCTCAGCCACATTGTGGCCATCTCTGTGCTCTCCTGTGTGGTGCACACTCTCGTCTTGGGGGTCACTGTGGCCCAGCAGCAGCAGGACCAGCTGAAGGGAATGCAATTGCTCAGGGAGGTGAGTCCTGCCTTCCTCCCCACCTTGAAGCCTCCTCCTTCATCAGCCCTTGCCCCAGGTGGGGCCTGTTTGGGGTGGGGAACATGTCTGGGCCTCTGGGGCTGTCAGCTGCCTGTCCACTTCCATGCATAGCCCAGGGTTTGCCTGCCCTTGGCTTTAGGAAAGGGGGCTGTCAGGACATAGGGGCTCAGGATGGGGCCACTCTTCACCTCAGCCCAGCCTGAGTGGGTGACAGGAAGCCCCCCCCACCGCCAGGGCTGGGTTTGAGACCTGACCGTCTCACCAAGAACCCTGGCCAGGATGGCCTCTCGTGGGGAAGAGGGCTCCCTGGATTTCGATCTCTAGCCTGACGTTGTCAGTGTGGACTGTATCCTCTGTCAAATGGGGCTAAGGTTTGCCTGGCCGGCATGACATGATTATTACCAGCATCATGGGGAATTCAGGGTGAGGGCTTGAGGAGAGGTGAAGGTCTATGGAGAGGGGAGATGTAGTTATCACCTGCCCTGTTTCTGCTGCCCAGCTCAGGGTGCGAGCAGTTAGGAGATGTGGGGAGTGGCGGCCTCCCCACTGAAGGTGTGGTGTGGGCGCACACATGGGGACTATTGTGGAGGATGCATTCTACTGGAAGGCATGGAATTTTGACGTCAGCTTAACTGATAATATCCCCCTGAGTGCCAAGACCCCTGGCAGGCTGAGGGGCTGCAGAGACCAGGACCTGAAGGACAGTAGACATTGTGTGTCCCTGGAGAGCCAGCACGTCAGTGACCAGAGAATGAGGCAGAGGTGTTTGCATCTGGCTTTTGTGCCCAGCCTGCCATCCTCATACTGATGAGTGGTTGGGAAAGGCTTGCCCACTCCCTGCCCCTGGGTTTCTCTGGTGGGTAGAGAGGCTGTGCCCCTGCCTCTGCTCTGTTCTCTGGAGGGTGGGGCTGGAGTCAACTCTGAAGGGGTGGCCTGCTGGGTGTCAGGAAAGGCAGAGCGAGCCTGGAAATTTTGCTGACCTGAGTCTCTAGCAGTCCTGGGGGGCAGTGACTGAGCCATGGTGACTGACCACTGTGAGTATGTCAGGGTGAACAGACACAATATGTCACTCCTTTGCTACTTTATCCATTCAGTTTATTCTAGAAATGGTCAGAAGATGTTAGTGTAGAGAGGGAGGAAACACAGAGAGGGGCAAAACTTGCTTATGGCGACGCAGCTCATCTGTGGCAGAAACAAGATGAATGCCAGGATGTGTGGACCCCAGCCTGGGGCTCCCGCATGGTAGAAGAACACGTGTGTGTTCTGTGGGCTGTTATGTGAGACCAAGAGCTGCCTGAGCAGGAACTTTGCCTCCCATCCCACCTTCTGGGGACAGTGACTGTCAACTCTCAGAAGGAGGCACCGCTTGGAGGGGACTTTGAGTCTTTGTTCATTAACAGGTAGGAACACCAGTCATTTGCATTCAGGCCCTGTGTTAGCCAGTCCCCAGTTCATTTTAAAGTTTAGCTCGGAGGAGCTTTGAGGAGACCCCTGTGCCCATGTTGCTCTGGCCACATCTCCCCAGGTGGGCAGGAGCTTATTTGGAGGCTCTTGGAGCTTCTAGGGAAAATGGCTGCGGGGCTATGATCCAGACAATGTGTGGCTGCAGGGCTGGGCCAGGGCCTGGGTGCCCCATCACTACTTGGAGATCACTTCTGAGCCCACGATTGCTGACCTTTTTTGGGTACTGCTATGAAACAAAACTCCCAAAACTTAGGACACAAGGGAAAAATGAAAAATTAGTAAGTCAAGAATAAACATATTAGCATCCCAGGGGAGCCTGACCCTGACATGGAATAGAAGGAGAGGGCAAGGGAACTCTCAAGGTCCAGTTGGGAGCCTGAGCTAGAAGGCGAGGCTCCAGCTTACAGTGGGCTGTGCTCCAGAGCTTCTGAGTCACTTGTTTGGGACAGATTCTCAGGCACTACCCACTACCCACTGAGGTCTCCCTTAACTCACAGCGTCCCTGTAGAAACCAAGCCTGGGGCAGCCTGTGTTGCCGTGGGGAGGGACACCAGGGACATTTGGCTCCCCTGAGCTGTGAAGTGGAACGTCATTCACCTGCCCTGCTGCTCCTCTGGGCCTGGTTGTCTCCTGGGTGGGGCCAGGCCCCTTCCCACCAGAGTGGCTCCCAGAACATTCTCCAGACCCCAACCCTGGCATCCCTTTTCCCATTTTTTCCCCTCCCTTTATGTCCTCATCTCTGGGCACCTGTTGACCATGGCCGGGGCCTCCCTCTTCCGTGTGGGGGATAAAATGAGCTTTCCAATTAGAAGCAGACACTGGATTCCTGGGGACTTGTAAGTTTTGTGGTTTTGTTGCTGCTGTCACCTGCAACACTGATGAAGCATTCCTAATGCCACAAGGCTTTTTCCTCTGCAGCCCTCAGACCCCAAGCTCAGTGGGCTCCAGGGAGGACAGAAGGTTCACACAGGCTTGCAGCAGCCTGAGGTGTCCTGGGCTCCTCTCCGGAGGCCAGCAGGTGGTGCTTCTATAAGAAGAGCTAGTGGCTGGGGGGGGGGGGGGTGTGGGATTGGGGTGCAGCTGCGGCTTCACTGATTAGTTAATGAGTGAACATTGCTGAGTAAGGAGTGTGGGCCATGCAGCCCGCAGTGTCTGGGGGTAAGGAGGGTCAGACCAGCGGGTTATGGGGGAGAGCATAGGGTAGGAGTGGGGGTGGGAGGGCAGATGGATCCCAGGCAGCTGTGGCTGGCACAGTTTGCCCAGGGTCCTGCCCTTGATTGCCCCTAAGATGGGCTGAGCAGGCAGGAGGGGCTGTAGCAGGACCAGGACCAGCAGCTGACTGGTGGGGGTGATGGGGCTGGGCCAGAAATCTCAACCAAGAAGAGGAGCTTTCTTTTGGCCAGGGGCTATTCAAAGACCCTCACACACCAACAAGTTCTTGTCAGTTTCTGACATCATGAAAGGAATGCCTCTGTGACAAGGTAGGGGGGTAGGGGCTCCTGCCAAATATTTTGTTGCCTGATTTCATAGCAGAAAAGCTATTTGGGAGCAAAATCCTCTCATGGAGTGAATAGCCTGTGAAGACCTTTATTCACAGAGTACAACATGATGAGTCTGTGGATGTGCAATGTCTTTCACACCTTCCATTCACACAGCAAATCATTCACCCGGAAGGAGTGTTTGCTCCTAGGGTTGGAGGGAGTCGCAGTAGGATGGGTCAGAGGGAGGGAGGCTTCCTGAGATCCCCACCTGCAGGCTGCAGTTAAATGTTGCACACACATTATCCCATTTAATCGTGGGTGTTGCCGGCTTCATTTCACAGATGAGGAAAGTGAGGCTTAGTGAGGTTGAGAGGAGGTGGGGGGCTGGAAGACTAGGGAAGGATCACTGGTGAGTGGGAAGGTGGAATGGGGGCTTCTTTGAAAGCCTCTCTTTGGAACTCAGGGATCTGGGCTTCTATCTTTATTCTCTGGTTGCCCCCAAATGTCTTTGCTAAGCAATGTGGAAGCGTAGTGCCAAGGGACAGAAGGCCCTAAAATATAATAGGGAATTGGTTGCAAGGAGGGGAGAGGCCTGTGACAGAATGTTCCACGGCCGGGAGTGCATGAAAGATACAAGGGGATGAGTTGGAACAGGAGCAGGGGCCAGGGCCTCTAGGTGGGACTGTTGCAGAGCTCAGGTTAGGAGGAGGGACACTCAATCTGACTCCTGTCTCTTGGCCTTGATCTCTACCCCATCCTGGGGTGGGAGAGAAGCAGTCACCCTCCATGGAGAGTATGCATGTGGGCATCAGTGGAGGGAGTGGAACGTGAGGAAATGCACAAGGGGGCCCACAGGGGCCATCAAATCCAATGCACATGACAGAGAATGACCAGTTTTGAATATGGAGACAACTCTGCAGAAAATAACCCCTCCTTCCCTGGTGGCCTCCCTTTTCTGGGGCCTCTTCTGATCCTTCTCTGCGTAAACACAGCTTTGCCAGTTGTCATCCTCGTGCATATGCAGTTTAGGCCCCACCTTTCACCCACATCATTTCACCGACATGTTGCTATGAACATCGGGTGTTTATTATTTTAAATCAGCACTTTGTAGTCAGCGAGTGTTTTTAGAGAGGAAACTGAAGCCTCAGCTGGGCCAACAGTAAGAGACTGGGTAGTATGTGCGTGCACACATGTACAACACACACACTTCAGGGCCCACGTGCCCAGCAGTCATGGCAAATCCTCCATGACATGGGGTGGCTGGGACTTCAAGTTTATTCTTGTTTAGCAGTTTCTTCATAAAAGGGTGAGCCAACCCTGAGTAAACATTCAGACACCCCCCACCTGTCCCCAACCAAATTGCACAGACTTCATGGGTTCGTGCCCTCACTGATACTTGGACTCAGAGACATACCTGTGTGCCGGTCGAGGCCCTTGAGCAGGGCGGGCAGTGAAGTGGCTTCTTCCTGTGTTAACAGTTAAGTGTCTCCCAAGAAGAGGCAGATAGTATTAATATTTCCATTTTACAGATGGGGAAACCAAAATGTGTGATTCGACTGGAGTGACTTGTCCAGGGTCACGTAGCTAGTAAGTGGCAGATTCAAACCCAGGCAGTGGGATCCTAGAATTCTTTCTTTTCTATAATCATGAAAGAAGGCCCTTACATCAGTGGTTCTCAAGTTTCCTAATACTGCGAACCTTTAATACAGTCCAAAGGGGTCCGACCCACAGGTTGAGAACCACTGTCTTACATCATCCCTCAGAGCCTGCTGAGGGAGTTCCCGCAGGGTTGGGTTTTTGGTTTCTCAACCCATAAGCATTAGAAGGAACAACCTGGAGGATGAGGAGGTGCTTCGAGGGGTGACATCAAGGGTCACCCAGCAGCCCTCCTCACCCTCAGTGGCTGTGGGAGCTGTCAGTGCATTACAGGACAGTAGTTGTGTTTCTGCTTCGAAGTGATTTCATCCGGCTCATGGCCATTCGGGCTAGTTCTAAGAAGGCTTTACCAGAATGCTTAAAGGCTAGCTAGGCTCA